AACATGTTTCAACTTCGGTTTATGAAAATCACTAACTTTTACAAACTAGTCACAAAATCTTAAAATAGGAATCACATCTTAGACGCAGAGATTAATTATGTTTTTGAGGGGAGGCTGCTAGCTTGAATTCAGGCTAGAAAACTCCTGAAAAAGGCCTGTATCTCCTAAAGTATTAAGTCACTAAGTTTTTTTATTAATTCACTAAAGTTCCTCACAAAATCTTGGCATAATACAACTTAGGATATCATTGGGGAGGATTCCAGATTGAAGGACGCGATTTGTGCCGAGAACATTTTCGCGCGATGATTTTTTACGATTTCAAATGTCGCCTAAAACCGGAAGAATCGTTTGACTTAAATTTAAATACACCTCAAAACCTTAAAACGAAATTGTACAACCAGTGCGTGTTGCCAGTGATGACTTACGGATCTGAGACGTGGTCCTTCTCTGCTGGCCGTATGAGATAGCTCAAGGTCGCTCAGCGAGCTATGGAGAGGGCTATGCTCGGGGTTTCTCTGCGTGATAAACTTAGAAATGAGTATATCCGCAGTAGAACTAGAGTAACCGACATAGCCCAACGGATTAGTAAGCTGAAGTGGCAATGGGTCGGCCATATAGCTCGAAGAACCGACAACCGATGGGGAAGAAAGGTTCTTGAGTGGCAACCTCGTACCGGTAGGCGAAGTGTGGGGCGACCCCCCACGAGATGGAGTGACGACCTGGTAAGACATGCAGGAAATCGATGGATGCAGGTGGCTCAGGACCGTGCTTTGTGGCATTCCTTGGGGGAGGCCTATGTTCAGCAGTGGACTTATGTAAGGCTTTAATGATGATCATTTATGGATATGGATAAGGCAAAAACCTGTACCGTTGGTTTTACGAATTTCAACACGATCGACTAACTTTTACAAATTAAGGAAGAAGTGGCATTTGACAGTCGTTACGAAAGGACGTTGCCTTTTGTAACGGCTGTCAAATGCCACTTCTTGCTAGTAGTGTAAAATTTAAAAATGAATAAGCTATTTAAATATGAAAAGATTCAGCACATATTGTATATTGTATCGGAAAGCATTCACGAGATAAGACGAGACGAGCACGAACAATTTCGTGTGATGAGGATAGTTTCGCGTCAGGTGCTGTACAACCTCACTGTGCTTAAAAGCAGGCCTACGTGGAATGGTGTTGGCGTACTGAATTCCAGCAGACTCGTCTCGGTGTGTTTACGACATTATTACAGGTGATGAATCTTGGATTTGTCAATATTTTTTTGTTATAGGATAGGGTGACAAACGAGCACACAGTCCACCTGATGGTAAGTGCTTGATGTGGCCCATAGACATCTACATTTATCCTCATTTACGAATCAAAATGCAGATGCGTTGTCACCCGTGAGAACTAAGATGGAATGCCTCTTTTCCAGTAAAAAGGGTCTCCGGTTCTCTACACTCACCATACGAAACACAGCAGTGTTAAGCTGCTATTTGACGCTGGTATTCTGTGAGAGCGTGGTCCTTCCCCGGTCGAGCCGACCCAATCGTGCTACACTATACTAATATAGCTGCAGCATGGCTCTACCACGTACAAAAAACAAATACGTATAATCCAGAAACAAGCTGGTTCAAAATGAAACCAATGATTACCAAAGTAAAAAGAAGTGACCGTAAAGCGCAGGGATGGTTTTGATTATTAGTGGTTTCTCTTTGACTGAGTATCTGGTGTCAATTCCTTTACGAAATCGAAATAGAGAAGTGTTACACTGTGAACCCTACTAGAATAGGATATCATGTATATAAAATTACCTACTAAATTGTTCTACGGTTATTGAACCCTAGAACAAAGTTAACATTGGTTAACTTTATTGCAGATTATTTACCTATAGTCATAAAATTGCAACGCAGCACCAATCAAATAGCTTCTGAGAACGCGTTAAAAGTCGAGTAAACCCGACGATAGTGTTATAAATTGCCATGAATGAAGCTTTTTGTCATTCCACATCGACTGCAAAGCATGCATCGCTAGTAGAGTAGCCGACATAATGTGCGATCACCTTTTGCAAGTCAACAAAAGTTTTCATTTATTATTACTTTTTTATTATTATTTCACACGAAGAATACACTATTTATATTACGAATGATTTATATTTTGAATAAGAAATATTTTTACTAAGTTACGCATTATAATTTAAAATTAAAATTTTTGTACAGCCGACTTCAATATAAGTTATTAAGAATAACTCGAATAACTCAAAAACTATTGGTCTGACTTTGATCAAATTCATATAGGACCACACGAGAAGTATCAGTTTTCATATAAAAAAAGAATCATCGAAATCGGTTCACCCCGGAAAAAGTAATGAGGTAACACATATAAAAAAAAAACATACGCGTCGAATTGAATACCATCTCCTTTTTGGAAGTCGGCAGAAAAGCAACGAAAGGCACATTTTTTGAGATAGTGACGTTTGAAGTTTGGTTCGGTATTCAATGATAATAGATAATGGCTTGATAATAAAAAAGGACACATGCTGACAATTTATGCCACTCCTTTGCTGTACGCATGCTGAACAATGTAGTAAACCTTTGGTTCGAATGCGTGGTAAGTCAACTAAGAAATGGTGGAGACTGGCCGATCGTCTGGTTGTCCGATGGTGGAAAGGAGAGGGAGGAATTAAGTTATGCAATTCCTGCGCACACTCTCCGAAATGTATCCTTTAAACGCTTCTAAATGTCTGCTATTTTACTTAATCTCTGTGAAAGTAAGGGCCCTAAGGATTATTTCGGCATAAAAATCATTTCTGATCAGAGTGTTGATTGTATCCTTCTCGCGTAACGACTTCCATTTTGTGTTTTAAGTATCACGCTTTAATCTGGCGAATACACACTGGTCGCCATCTCCGATCTGGATTATTGTATATGACAAATACGAAATATACAGGTAAACTAAAAATACTTATGTTGTTGCGGTACATGACTCTCTTTTCGTGGCGGAGGGGCTTAGAAGCTGTGGTTTAGTCACCTATGGTGAACAATCCAACCTTGGCCGACCACTTCAGATACTCCGGATACTCCGGAAAGCTTGCCGAGACCACTCCGGATGTGTGTTAGTGGGTTATAAAGGGGAAGACAGAGAGGGTAGGAGGGAGCGACAGCGAATGTATGCGAAGGCGTTCCCATGACCCTGTCAATATGCGACGAAGGTGGAACACCGTGGGGCTCGATTTCGACACATCTATATATAAAGAGTATGTCCTGAATGTTTGACTCATCTATCACCATCACACACATCCCAAGACACTAAAACAAACCGTAGAAATCTGAAATTTGCACAGTAGCTGCTTTTTATTACCTACGTAGGCATCCACTAAGATAGGATTTCGGAAAAATCAAGTCCTAAATGAGTAAAACAAGGTGTTACAGTTTGTATGAAACTTTTTATCTTACGCGGTGATTGACGTGAAACTTACTGAAGGTACTCTGTAAATAAAATAAATGAACTCTGTTTAAGCCATTTTTCAAAACAAACCCTTACGGGGGGCAAAGTGTGTTCAAATTTTGTATGGAGAAAAATTGAATAATGTTTTAATAAATTTAAAACACTATAATTAAAAATAATACAATTTACAGTTATAATTTCTTTAAAAATCTACCCTTAGGGTCTTAAAACTAGGGTGCAATGTTTTTATGATAAACATTATATTAGAGAAACTTCGAGCGTAGCCCTCTCCATAGCTCGCTAAATGACCTCGACCTTTGTGATGGATCATGTCTCAGATCTATATGTTTTTTTATGATCTATATGGCAACACGCACTGGTTGTACACTCGGTTTTAAAATTTTGGAATATACGTAATGAAAAGATATGTAAGAAGAAGAATCTCACATACACTACCCCATTCGCCGCATTGGATCCGTTGATTGACCTCTGTGTCGAATTTTGACTTACCTAGTCGGACAATTCGCCCTAGATAAACATACTCGTCAACAGTTTCGAGTGCAGCGCTCACAACACCTACCGGCATTGGTTTTACATGGATGTTACACATTTACTTTATCTCGTTGATGTTCATCTTAAGACCTATACGTTGAGACATTATTGAGCTTAGTGCTGAGGTCGTCAGCAAATTCAAGGTGAGTGATATACTCGCTATTGATCTTGATACCGTATCTTTTTATTCCAGTCGCAGTAGTTTCTATTAGTTTAATATGTCTTCCAATTCCAATGCAAGAGTGTAAGGTTTCGAAGATATAACGTCACCCTGTCACAATCGGATAGCCATTATTACTCTATGACAGTCCACATAGCACCGCCTAAAATCCGACGGAAACAAATGCTTTCTCTATTAATCCACACACACACATTTAGATATTGTTTAAATGGAATAGGCATGGGTAAAATTACAAAGTTGCCATTTGGTAGCCGGAAGAATCAGTTTAATGAAAATATTGTGTAATTAAGCATTGAAAGAGTTGATATCATGACCTGTTCTTGAGATATACGAGAAAAGTTCGCGCTTTCAGCGCTTAAGTTTCCACTTCTTCATCTCACTCCGGATCAAATGAATCATGTACATCCATGACTTATTTGATTCTGACTATCTATATAAAATCCAAATGAAAAGTATAAAATCAGCGCTTAAATTTGCACTTCTCAATCTCACTCGGAAACAAATGAGTCATCAAAGCACCCAAGTAAAATTTGAATAGAGTATCAAAACAAAAAAATGTGCGGTTCACCATTTAGATGACTACATTTTGAGCATGCGGCGGCTCTTTCTAGGATGTTCAATTTCCCATAACGGTTGGAGAGCATGCCAAAACGTGTAAAACGATGTTCGTATCGTGGCTGCGTAGGCACAAGCCACTCGTCGTGCATTGCATCCTAATGAGTCCAGGCCGTCTGGACTATATAACGCGACGTCTGAGCCTGATCAGCACAAACTCGATAGCTGTGAACCGCACAACTCCCATATTATCAAAGGGTAGCAGTGCTAAATAAACGAAATGAAATACTCTGCGATTCTCATCCTCGTCTGCACCTTGTGGGGGGCGAATGGGTTTCCTTATCACTACTATGGGACCAATATGGATACTCGTGAGTATTTTTTTTATAAAACTAAAGTGACTTTGCAGTAATTTTACTGGTTCTCTATAGCCTTCAGACATTTCGGTCTGAACACTGCTGCTTGGAGGCAGAAATAATATAACTTTCTATGGATTTCTAAATAATTAATCTCATATATAAAAATTAATGATTCTTTGTTCGTATTTTATGCGCTGCCATACCGTACATCAGATTACGGTAGAACTTTGTCAACTTATTGCTTGCACTTACGCGAAGGTTATAGGCATAGTACAATTAACTACAGTAGGTGGTGCGCTTATCGTACGAACAAATTTATATGAAAGTTATATATCATTCGACTTCAATTAATGTTTTATCATTCCTAATTAGACAATATAACACTTTCAAATTTAAAACGATATTTCAATTATTTCTTCTGCGGCAACAACGCGTTAATGTGTCCCACTTTTTAAAATATATTTATTTTCAGTGTCGTACGGTTCGAACGACAATAGACACGGTGCTATGGTGCTGAGCCGCTTCTACAACCCGTACTACAACCCCCGTGTCGCTGGAGGCGGCATGGCAGGCTTCATGTATAGGCCCGAACAAACTCAGCAACAGGCAAGCCAGTATTATCTTCCCGACAGACGCCGTCAAACTACACCAGAAGACTACATCCCACCCCAGCAAAACGAAGTGTATTACCCACTAGCACCAGAAAAGCCATTCGCTTCGGAGCCGACGGAAATCGCTGACCCTCTTCCTACTGTGAAAGTTGAAATTCCCACAACAGTCAAAGCAACAGCGGTGCCAGAACTAACGGAACCCGAAATAGAAGAAGCTGAAGAGCCAATAGAGACAAAAGAAGTTGCACCTACTCCTAAGAAGAGAGTTAATAAGAAGAAGCAAGCTAAGAGGCCCGTAGAAGAAGACGAGGAGGCCGATGACTACGAACCGAGGATTCCAAACGGAGCATACTTCCCGATGTTCTTTGGTTGGGGTGGTGGCCGATCTTCGGGTGGAGCACCCAACGGAGCTACCGCTATCGCTAACGCCTTTAGCACTGGGCGTGGTGGTGTTGCTACCAGCCACGCGACAGCTTACGGACCACCACAGCCTGATTCGAAACTGTAATTCAACAGTTATGTGAATGCATTAATCGCCACACTTCGCCGTAAGGAGAAGCAATATATGATTAAATCATTACATAAATATTTTCACGAACATGAAAAACTACACCTGAGGGCCATCTAAAGAAAATGTGTGATTTTTTGTGTGTGTGCTTCATACGAAACCATTTTATTGTGATACCTATATACAAGAAGTTAAAGCATTACAAATGCAACGGTCACAGACATACTCAATAGTAATAGATTTAATCGTCATTACATAATTCTTGTTTGTATTGTGTTAAATTGATGTTAATGTGTGTGTAAATACAGTTATTTCAGTATTTAAAAATATTTTCATGTAGATAAGTTGCCAATATTGTCTTGAAATATATTATTGTTAAAATTATAGTCGTATTTTTATTATTGCAAAGTTTTCTCGACAGTTTCATTAAGTCATAAAAAATTCGCAATACCTTCACCACGAAATACATAGAATAATCATAATTTTACCTTCTTTTTAAAATAATTTTAAAGACATATTTTTCTCCCAAAACATGAAATAAAACAAACAAATATAAACATCATAAAGTCCCTTAAAAGTGAAACGTAACATTGCATTAGTCCACAAGAATTACCAAAAAGCACGGTCCACAGCCATCTGCGTCCATCGATTTAGAGTGACGAAAGTGACGATCTGGCAAGGTTATATACATAAATACATATGGGCTAAATACACTCGTCAACAATTTCTAGCCTAGTGCTACAGCTGCAAGCATTGTCGTGACATGGAGGTTACACATGAACTTTGTCATGTGTATCTTAAGACCTAGCCGTTGAAGACACTATTGAGATCACTGAGCATAGTGCTGAGGTCAGCGAAGTCGTCGGCGAATCGAAGAAGAGTGATGTATTCGCCCTTGATGTTAATATAGCATCATTTTCGGTTCAGTAACTTAAAACTGCTTCCAACGCAGTGGTGAAGAGATTCGGGAATATAACGTCACCCTGTCTTACACTTTGCTGCATAGGTTTCGTACTCTGATTCATTACTCGGATAGCCATAGTAGTCCTACTGTACAAACACTTCAGAATTTTGATATAGTGACAGTCTTACGCCTTACAACTTAGCGCCGCCACAGTTTAATAGACTCTCTTGATACTATCACTTTAAAATCCGACGGAATCAAATGCTTTAGGCCGCATACAAACATTTAAATAACTTCATGCTTATCTAAGCCGTGAGCTGTGGTAGGTTAGGGGTTAAGAGCTCGCTGTAAATTTTAACAGTACGCGAGCAATCCTGGTTCGATTCGGCACCAATGTTATTATTAATTGCAATTTTAAGTGCTGATTTAGCACGTGCTCGGCGGTGAAGGGAAACATCGTAAGGAAACTTGCATGTTTGAGAAATAAGAAAAAAAATTCGAAGACATGTGAAGTTCGCCAACACGCATTGGAGCAGCGGAGCGGACATTTCCTTATCCTAAAACCCTCTCAGAAATATGAGGAGAACTGTGCCCAGCAGTGGGACGTGTATAGGCTCTAACTTTATTTACACCAAACATTATATATTCGGGTTCGGGAATAATTCGGAACTCCTCGTTTGGAAGCTGGAAGAATTGATTTAATGAAAACTTGACCAGGTGTTCATTGTGCATTTAAGCATCGAATAAAATTGGTTTGGAGTAAATACATGACATGTTTTTGAAATATGCGCGAAAAGTTAATTTCACTGATGTACACACACACACACACACACACACACGCACGCACGCACGCACGCACGCACGCACGCACGCACGCACGCACGCACGCACGCACGCACTCACGCACGCACGCACGAACGCACGCACGCACGCACGCACGCACGCACGCACGCACGCACGCACGCACGCACGCACGCACGCACGCACGCACACACACACACACACACACACACACACGCACCTGAACATAATATGCCGAAAGAAGTTAAAATTATTATTAATATAATTCCAGTTAGTCATGTCATAGATTGCCTCATAGGCAACTATGGCATAGTTGCCACGCTCGCCAGGCGGGTTGACACAGGCATGTTTCATATTTTGAGTTTTTATCAGGCAGATGTAGCTGTCCATCTTCTGTTTCTTTTTCCTCCGCCGCCTCTTACGCCACCCGTGATACAATATGGGGTAATGGACTAATTTAGGCCACCACGTACTGGTGCCAACAAAATAAATAAAATCCAAATGAAAAGTTTAAAATCAGCACTTAAATTTTCACTTTTCAATCTCACTCAGTTACAAATGAGTCACCGATGCGCCCGTGTAAATTTTGTTAGGAGTTAGGCAAAAGCAAAGAAAAAGAAACCCCTACAGCATCACTTCGTTGTATGTCCGTCCGTCTGCCTGTCTGTCAATACCCTTTTTCTCAGTAACGCGTGGAGGTATCAAGTTGAAATTAATATCAAATACGTAGAGGTCTACGGTCTACGGTAAGAGCCGTGGTAGCTCAGATATATAGCGCTCGCTGTAAGCTTCACAGTACTCGAACAACCCGGGTTGGATCCCCGCCGGCATCAATGAAATTGTTAATTGCAATTTTAAGTGCTGATTTACCACGTGCTCGGCGGTGGAGGAAAACATTGTGAGGAAACCTGCATGTCTGAGAAATAAGAAAAAAAATATTTCGCAGACATGTGAAGTTCGCCAACACGCATTGCGGCAGCGCAGCGGACATTTCCTTGCCCTAAAACCCTCTCAGAAATGAAAGGAGGCCTGTGCCCTGCAGTGGAATGTAAATATGCTGCAACTTTACTTTTTTTACTTTACTACGGTATCTTAGAGTTCTAAAATAATCAAGTTTTAATAATCAACTTAATAAATAAATAAGGTTGTAAGGAAGAAAATGTGGGAACTGTTGCCGGGGTATGGTGTGGATGGTCGATTGCTAAGGGCTGTGCAGTCTCTTTACTGTGACTGTAAAGCCTGTGTGCGGGTAGGGCATGACCTGTCACCCATGTTTAGCGTCCAAACGGGCGTAAAACAGGGTTGTGTCATGTCTTCCTGGCTGTTCATACTGTATCTCGACAGCTGTTTACAAAAGCTGAAAGATAGCTGTTTGGGTGTGAAATTGGGTGACATTAAAGTAAATTGTCTGCTGTATACTGATGATGCAGTGCTTATTGCCCCATCAGAGGCAGAACTGCAGGCATTAGTCACGTGTATGAAAGAGGAATGTGAAATTAAAAGTCTCCGTTTGAACGCTAATAAAACTAAGGTTCTGGTATTTGAAAGGGACGAAGAGAGAACGAAGTGTGAAATATGGGTAAATCAGGAATGTTAAGAACAAGTAAATGAAATTGTATACTTGGGGAGTGCTTTTAGCCGGGATGGAAGATGTGATTTAGATGTGGACAGGCGTGTCGCTGCCGGGAACAAAGTCAATGGTGCCCTGACTGCGTTAGTCAAAAGGCAAGGCGTAGTGAAGAGTGCACGCCTTGCAATACATAACGCAGTGTTGGTACCGACTTTGTTATATGGCAGCGAAACCTGGGTATGCCAGAAGAAGCATAAAAGCAAGTTGAATGCAGTGGCGATGCGATCTCTTCGTAAAATGTGCGGCGTTACCATGGCCGACCGAAAGCGAAACGAAGAGATTCGCAATATGGCAGGTTTGAAAGATGACCTTATCACAAAAATTGATAAGGGCGTGCTTCGGTGGTTTGGGCACGTTGAGCGAATGAGTGAAGACTGAATGGTGAAGAAAATATATAGCGCGAAAGTTAATATTAAAAGGTGTCGAGGTAGACCGAGACTAACTTTCGAAGACCATGTGAGCAAATTGCTCGAAGAGGGTAGGGTCAAGAGTACTCGGATACCTAGACGTGCATGTATGAAGAAGATAATGAATCTGAAAGAAGCGAAAGAGGTATGTAAGGATCGTGACACTTGGCGATCTGTTCTCTCTGGCTACCCCGTCCGGGATTGTGCGTGAAGATAAGTAAGTAAGTAAGTAAATAAATAAATACGTCCATTTATGCGACATATTTTGATACTCGCAAATAAATCAAAGCCTATAGGGTACTACCCGTAGATCTAAAATCCTGAAATTTAGCCTAAAATAGGTAAGAAACAAGGTCTCACAGCACAAGTTAAAGGAAAAGTTCGAAAATCGTTAGACTTTTTTTGCGATTACAAACGCAGTTAGAGAATTGACTGTGACGTATATCGATGTTTGGGAGAATATTTTTTCAACTACAAAGTTTGTCCATAAATTTTACTTATCTTTTTGTCCAAGTTGTGTTCAGTGCTTTCATAGTTTATGAAATTCAGGTAAAAGTAGTAGTACTGTACAATGTACTGTACAACATCTAAGACAGTGCGCACCGATCCTGTAAATGCAACTCACTTTCGCTTTAAAGAGATGTAATTAAAATTAATGTAATGTAATTATACATTTCGGAGTAAAAGTTAAAACATACTCGGAATAATTATTATTATATTATGGTAGGTAGATATTTTATAATACTACTACTATAATATAATAATACTACTAAACTAGACTAATATACATACTTCTAAAGAAAAACTAAACTTATATAAGGATGAAATAAAATAAGTTAAAATTAGAAAGTCGCGGGTTCGACGCGTTTCAGGATCAGAAGAAAAGCGAGTAGGGGAGACCGGGGATGGTTGACTATAGGGGCAGGTTGACTTGTTATCAATAACTCCACCTACTCAAAAATCTAACTAGGCGCGAAAAACCGTTTTCTAACCCCGCCAACCGTTTACTAACCAGAAGAGCGGCATCGTCTACGCACGTCGTTTGGGAGAAAAAGCTTAATATTCAAAAACAAACCATGTAAGTAATTGTTTACCTCATAATATGTTTTGTAGTAACGCTTATATATTCGTTGTTACTTACTTTCAAGTAATTTAGAATAAAAGTTTGATTGATAAACTTTTTATTATGTGATGAGGATATACCATGTGGTTAAAATTAAAAAGCGATCCTGGGCTGGTAGACTAATTTATTTTGGGG